ACTATTTATTAACTATATAATATTAATAATATTTTATTATATTACTATAATTACTATACGATTACATGATATTATTACTTATACGATGAATAGTTCGTATATTAATTTTCAAATAATATTTTTTTAGAGGTATATGTGTCATCATCAGGGAGTTCAATTTAAATTTAGAAGAAGCCTTTCTCTGTTCCTTGATCAATCTAGTACCCAAAAATCCGGAGACGAAACACTCAATCGCCGCCAAACTCAGGAGGGATGTGTCCAATATGCGTGTTCCCTCATTTCATAAGATTAGTAACGTACGATCATATAAGCTGTATTAATTTATATATATTATACGAATACGTAGGGATTTTGACCGTATCGCGCATATAAATTGCAGAACGGCAAGAAAAGAGATTTAATAGAGCAGATATATATTTCTCCAATGGCATTACGCTTGAGATTGTTAGCCAATACAGACGGATCTAACGCGCGTAATTTCAGCATCGTGCTCGATTATCGCAATATTCTTCGATTCATCTTTGATTACGCGGAGAAGGGCGCATTCGAAAGGGATGCTGAATTCAAGTGAGCGATTAAAATTTGAATTGTGATGTAATTGGCAAGTATGTGACAAGATAAATATCGTTTGTTAAATTGCCCGCATTGCTTAGGTTGCCCAGTTATCAAAGAAGTTTCATCGTCGTCAATAACGAGCAATTTCTTTCGCGTCTCTTACGAACTTATATGGCGCAGATTATGGAACAGTTTCATGTACTGGTGCGATTAGTTACAGTTTTGGGAAATCAGTACGGCTACAACTTTAAATCGCCAAAGAACAACTGTTGCGAGCCAGATTCAGTAAGCGTACAAATGGACGAGATTCTCTTTTTCTATGTTTCTATATTGAAACTTGCTAATCGCACGGTGAATTTTCAGTTACTATTATGCGGCGATGAGGCTGCGGAGAGGCTGGCATACGAAGTGGCGTGCGAGCTGGGATACGCTACGCCCGATGGTATGCAAGCTTCGATTTTAAACAGCCACGCGCCTCTTTTCAAGGTAAATATGAAACTTGAATGTTTATTTAACCAGCAAGTGTCTTTCCGAACTTGATAAAAAAGTTTAATATGTTACTGACTGTTTTCAAAATTTTTCATACGATTATACTTGGTATCTCTGTCATGCAAATTTTAATTAAAATTAAATTATCCTTTGCTTGAAAAGCAAAGCTTCAAGTTGGCCCTTATTATTTCCACATGTTTATATAATCGAAAATATATTCGTTGACTATACGAAGGATATCTTATATAGTGTGAAAATACAGAAGTAGTACATATTCGTTTTTCGTTCCAGGTAAAGGATACAAATTATCAGAACCCGGATGTACCGCCTTTAGCGTTCTTAGTCGATAATTCATTCGCTACAGAGATTGATTTAGAGACCTCCGGCTTGATTACCACGTCGACAAACAGTGAGTAGATAGTTATTAGGCATGACATAAGCGAGAATTCGAAATAAATCAAGATTGTGTAATATTAATTTGTTCGAGCGTTGTTATTTTATTTCGTCTCGACGCGTTTATTAAATCTTATCAAAAATGTGGCAGGCATTCATCGAGAAGAGTCGAGATATTTCTTCAAAACATTAGGAAAAAAAATATCTGTGTTGTTTAAGACGGAAAGCTCTTGTTTAAAAACGCATTCGAAAGTAATACCAGACATAATAAAAAGGTATCAACGCTACTGTAGCACTATTTTCTTTCTTTCACGCATTATAAGATGTTCACCTTAAGGCGAAATGCTTGTTTTGCAGGGCTCAAGAAGTAGGACATAGTTTTGTATCCAGAGTGCGATTGCCACGATATATTAATCCACATTTCGTGAGTATCGTCCGTCATGTTTCATGTGTGATCTATTCTTTATCTTTATATCGTTAATCGTATCCTTATCCAGGGTGTGGAGTTGTTCTCGACGCACAAAGCGAAGGGAGCGTATTTATTGAACGCTATAAGTAAAGGCCATTGCGTTCGGAATGATTCTTATTGGGGACACGCTGCGCTTCACAATGATGGAAAATATATTACACTAGTATCCTTGCAGTAAGTCTAGCAATTATAAAAAATTATATTTGTGTGTGTGTGTGTGTATTGATGCTCGTGTATTTGATGACTAAAAAATTTTAAGAATATAGAACCATATTAATTCTTCGAAATGTAAGAAAAGAATATGGATCAATTCTGGGTGAATTTTTAGGCGAATATACTATATCGAGAAGGGAAATGCTTGGGGATCGTGGAACGTGAAATGGACTTTAGAGACCAATCAATTGCTGTCATCGCCAACTGTCGCTAAAAATAAACTCATTTTGCACATAACAGAGGTAATTTGTATGTCCGATGCGACATATATTTAATTCATATTATTAAAATAGTACAATTGTGGAAAAGAGACAACAATGATTTGATACATTCGAATATCGAACATGTCTTTTTAAAGAGTGTAATATTTAAGTTTAACGATTTGGGGAAAATTAATTGTTAATTGCAATCTTAAATCAGTTTCTCGATTTTTCAAGGATTAACACTAGAATGCTCAATAGTGGCGAGCAATTGAATAAAATCATGAAATATCATTGATTTCTTTTTGATATTTTTCAGTGTAAAAATAATTAAAGTTGACTATAACGAAAAGATTTTTCTCTAAAATTTGCATGAGAGAAATAGGAATTATATAATAAAAAGAATCAAAATAATTATATCAAGGCTAATATTCTAATATAACTCGATCGACAAAGCATTGAACACATGATTAAAAATTACATTATTAAATTATACGCGCAGGAAGAAAAAGAGACGTCATCGTCAATGGTAGACTGGTACGTGGAGAGCGAGGCCACGGATATTCTGGAATGGCTGTGTCGCAGAATGAACAGCGCAATGATCCTGAATATGGAAAGCAGCATTTGTTCCAAGTGAGAGAAACTCTAATGCACTGACGGCTGAGGCCGTTGAGAAAAAGAGAAAATCAAGAGCAAGGAACAAAGTGGATACAGAGATCAGTGTATTTACATATTTAGTTTGGCGTAATAAAAGATATATATATACGATGAATGCAAAGAAAAAGAAAAGGGATGTCTCTCTTTCTCTTTCTCTAATGCCCTACACTTGTTTTATTATCATTATATCTTGTGCCTTAAGTCAGATCGCATCTTCGTCTTGGATAAAGTACGTCTAGTTTATTTCATAATTTATTTACAAAAAGTCTTAGTAAATTACACTTACAGGCATCTCCACTCGAACTAAAGTAAATAATTTAAGAACTACATGTATTTAGATATCTATAGAATAGGATACTTTGGGGTCGGGGAGAAGCTGGGACCAGGGAAAGTGTTCTGTTTAACTTATTTCAATATAATCGTTTCTAATTGTATCTCCGACGATAATTCGAGTCGTTTTTTAAACAGCTACACACATCGTGTGAAAACTAAACCTCATTCCGCCTCTCTTATAAATTCATTCTCTCTACGAAACGAGGAAGTATACCAGTGGAAGGTGTGCGACAAGTTCGCGAATGTGTCTTCTTTTTTTTCTTTTCTTTTCTGCAACTTTCTCTTGCGCAAGAATGGGATTTTACAATTACAGGTAAATGTACGTATTGTAAGAATCATCAAAATATGTGCAAGCTGACAATCGGTATCTGTTAATTTTACAATAACGTATGCGCGCTTTGAAAAAGCATAAAATCTTGGTTATAAATATATTCCCATTAGAATCGTTTAATGGCACGATCGAGCTTAAATTTAAAAATCCTTTTTCCTTTTTTTTTATCCTTTTAATATATTCGTTTCTACATTATCGTCCAGTTTCTGTCTGCTTCTACAATGGTTGGTTTTTTCTCATCTTCTGGTTTCTTCTTTCCGCTTCTTTTTTTTCTTTTTTTTTTCGTTATCACAACGGTATTTAATTACGTTTTTATAAATACGTTTATTCTCCAAAAAGATTGCAATTTTAGTTGAATCCGCTACTTTCAACTCTCTTCCTTAAAGGAAGTTATAACGAAAAGAAGAAACGAAAGGAAAAATTGTATATTGAAACTGTAAAATCTCCTATTATATTTAAATAATCACTGTGAAATTAATAATAATTTAAGTAATTATTTAAATCAATTAATTACTTAATTTCGCAAGCTGCATATTTTCTTTCTCTTTTTCACAGACACTATCCCCACCCTTTTCTACCGTCCCCCTCCCCCCATCCTCCGTGCATACATACGCACGCATACATGCACGCACACATACACATGCACGCATTGCCGCATTTTTCTTTTTTCTCTAAAGCCATCTTTTACATTAACGCACGCACATATATGCATACGTCCCAAAGTGTGCATTGTATGTACGCATCGCATACGCATTCGTATTCGTACACGCACATCATACACAAACATTTCTCGCGCGCGAATGTAGGCGAACAGGTATTTTTGTCCTCTACACTTTATCTCGAATATCTTCTCATTCTTTCACTTTTTTCCTCTATGTTTTCGTTTCTCTCTCTCTTTCTGAATCTCAACATTATATATATATACATACATACATACATACATGCATGCACGCACGCAAATATACACGCAAATACATAAACACACACGCACGCACGCATGCATACTCTTTCTTTCCTTCTCGCTCTTTCACGCTCCCTCTTTTTCTCACTTTCGTTTCAATCAGCGGCTTTATCACACATGTCATATTATTTTTTCTCTTCTAGCAATGTCTTTCTTCAGTTCTAGTTCTGCCTGTGCTCCTAAAAGTCGAGACTTTTTGCGATCCTACGACCGCAAATGTATATTTGCGCCACCGTAGCCGTAGCACAAAAATCGAATAAGATTCAATGGAAGTGTGTGTTATCTACAAAATATCTTAATTACTCGCTAATTACAGCACAAAACATGCAAATATAAAAATTTGCATTATATTATCGTTTAATATTTATATATAATCATCATCCGATATATATATATATATATCGATCCACATCGCACCATTTAAGGTTCGCCGATATACTTCTTGGTATATATATATATATATATATATATATATATATATTATTATGCAGTTGACCGTTGTCTCTTGTGTATGAAAGTCCGTTTTTTTTCCTTTACTGCGTATGCATGTGTGTTTTGTGTATCTTCATATATGTTCGCGTTTGCGCGCGCGTGTTTGCTATGAATACACGGATTTTGTATGTGCCTCGTGTACATGGATCTGTGTGTATGTGTATTTTCTATGTGTATGTGTGTGTATGTGTTGTACGGGTGTGTATATCTTTTTTTCTTTCATTAACTATGAAATATCTTACACTATCGATATTATTCCAATTCACGAAGGGGAAGGTATACCGATAGGCGGAGATCGCATCGGGTATACCTACACGCTAACACCAATAATTAAACTTTCTTATTTCCTGTTTAATCGATATAAAACTACAATTGCGCTGCCATGGTTTTCATCAGCACTTTTGTTCCTTCACTCGTATGCGCTATCTCGTCATGCGCGTGTCTCTCTCTCTCTCTCTCTCTCTCTTTCTCTCTCGTCTTTCTGTCAATTACATCTCTTTTCTCTTTATTTCTCTTTCACTATTTCCTGCTTTTTCTTTTCCGCCTTTGACGCACTCTATAGCCGTTCATACACAATATATTACCATCACAACTTCGTCGTCGTCGTGTATATTTTACTCATCATTGTCGGCACTGTTAATAATAATATATCGCATAGTGTCCCGACAGACGATAGAAAGTTACGTGCCTCTGGAGCACTGGAACAACACGCGTGCAACAATTGCGGCGACCTGCTGATCCAGAATCTGGCTCATCACCAGAGCGAGCAGGCGAGACTCGTGTTGGAGAAGGAGAGTCCGGTTGTCCGGATGCCTGGCCAGATTGAGCAGCGTGCCAGCCGCGCGTCGTAACATGTCAAGACTGGTGCCCATCGATTCTGGATTGTCGCGCAGAGCCGCAAGACCGTGCTGATTGGCGACACCAAGGGCGCTCGATTCCGCCTGCTCGATGAACGCGACGAGCAACGCAACACACGGCGTCTGTAGGGCAATGGTACGCGCAACGCCGCTGTCCGCGGCCGACAAAAAATGTAGCAGATTCACGCCAAACTCGCGCAGCACTTGCTCCTCGCTGCGACAAAGGAGCCTGGTTAGCACGGAACATAATCTTTGTAATCGAGAATAGGGCGGCGTCGCCACCACCAGATCAACGTTGCACTCGGTCACGCATAATTTGCACAGTGCCTCAAGCGCGAGTCTTTGCGGCGACAGCGACGAGTTTGGGCTGACCGTCGGGAACGGATCCTGACCGTGCGCGGCTGGACATACGGCCCAATGTAGGAGACCGTCGAGCACCGGCCGCGAGATCTCTTCTGGATGCTGGCTCAGATCCATATGGCCGGATATGTTGGCGGCCATCACGAGAACATTCTCCCTCACGTGATGCAAAAAGTCCCACCACCACTCACTTTCGCCCTGCAGGCTGCTGCAAGAGTCTGCAAAGTCGGCGTCCTCTTCGCGGTCATAGTTGCGTGTCTTTTGCGCCCGTACCGGATGTTCGTGGTGCAATAGCAGCAATTTGCCAAGCAGGCTGAGAAACGTGACGTTCTTCGCAAACTCGGCCTCGTTGCCCGGGATGAAGGTGAGATTCCTCAAGATCGTCGACAGGCACACACAACGACGGGCCAGATTGTCCTGCGTCTCCGTCACTAGGTAGAGGCTCGCCTCGTCCCTGGAATAACTCTCGTCCTCGTAGTCGCTTATCCTCCGTCGTTTCAGCGTTCCTGCCGGATCTCTTATCTTTAATCTTGGTCCCTCCTTGTCATCTCTCGTCATGCTTTCTAGTTCGTGCTCCTCCAACGTTTCCGTCTTGATCTCAGTTTTGTCTATGGTATTGTCGACGTTACTTGCCGTCGTCGTCGCCGCCGAATCGTTCAACCCGTTCTGCGTGGGCAGCGAATCTTCATCGTTTGCCTTTGACACATCACTGCCAAAATGTTCGCCCATATTATTGTTCGGCTTTGTCGTCTCACTGTCGCAATCTTTCTTAAAGCCATCGTTTTTCTTCTCGAATAGCTCCCTCGTGAGATCGTTCATCTCTACGGGTTCTTTTTTAATCCTCGACAGCACGTCGCTCAGAGTCTTTGTCTTCTTCTTTTTGTCTAATTGCTGCTGCCTACGTTCACCGCTCTCCTTGCCAGACTGCTTATCACCGAGCTCGCCGGACTTGTAGGTAAAATCTAGTGCCTCATGAACACTACCACTGATGCTGTCCGCTTTGGCTTCGTCCTTTAAATCCGTGCTATCGACTTCCTTCTGCAACAACGGTGGTTTCTCGTCCCTCAACAAACGAGCAAAAGGCACCGAGCCCACTTCGGACTGAAAACACGTCACGATATATTTTGTCGCGTTCGTATCGACTTGCCACGGCTCGGTCTCTGACTCGCACTCCTGATGATCCCAAGGTCTCCGAGTGTCTAGAACAAACAGATCTTCATCCCGGGAAACAATCTTGACGGGGCGACCTCTTCTCGAGAGATACGTGTAATTCGATGTCGACAGCAGTTTCGTCCGATCTTCTGGATCAATCGGGCGCGTCACTGCGCCAAGATCCACCTCTGGACCATTCGTGGCCTGGCAATAGCGGTCGTCGTCATTTACGCACGATTCGAACATATCGGAGAGAGAACGTGAAAAGTGTTCCAGCAAAACGTCCAATAATCCAGGTAAGTGCGCTAACCCGAAGTAACTTACCTGCAAACGAGAAATTTATAAACTCTCTTATATGTTTCTTATCTTTTATTATTATACATAGATATTCCTTATCGTATATATTTTATCTCTTCAATTTAAAAAAAAATAATACATTTTTTACTTTAGATTAATTGCTTGCAGCAAGAAAAAGATACTTACAGAAGAATCATCAAATAACAAAATGTTTAATACATCAAGGGCCCAACAGCTCTCGGCGAGAAGGCCCGATCGCAAAGCCATCATGATGCGCCAAGCTTCTATTGGCGCCACATCAGCGCGCGTCAATTTTCGTCGCTTGTATAAAAGAGGCGTAATCGCTTCTACACTGTCAGGAGGGAATGTCATTTCTCTCTTTGACGTCGGTTGCTGGCTGATCATGGGATTCACTCCGAGTTGATTCTGCGTGAAATAAAACAATATTTCGTTTCGTTTACAAGATATTTCAATTGCAAAAATACATGTATACATCGTTTAACACAAACGATACTACGTAATAGATCTGCGAATAACGTATTGTGTTGGCGAGAGAATTAAAAACATACCGGATGATTTCCGGGTGTCGGATATAAAGGGGACGGTTGATTCGTGTAACGATGATCCCACGGCGGAGGCGCGTGTGCTATAGTGTTTAAAGAAGGTTGGGACGAGGACCTGCTCGGTTGTTGACTGGCCCATTGTTGACTACCGGTCATAGCGCTAACCGCCGTAGCTGTTGGTGCGGCGGAACCGACTTGTGATGCCTGTTGCTGTTGCTGCTGCTGTTGCTGCTGCTGTGACGGCGATGGTGTCTGTTGACTTGGGTACTGAACTCTATTATTTCCACTATTACTATTATATTGATTGGTTGTATTTGGCCATCCTGTAGAAAGAGATTGCATTTCTCCGTTAATCACAATCATGTTCTCGTTTACCTTTTTTAAAGCTAAAATTTTTTTCAAACTTCCTCTCACGAGATAGAATGTATGATTTAAAATATCTGACCTGGATATGCTGGTCGTTGCTGATTATACTGGGGATACTGTTGGTCTTTGGCAAAATCTGGGTGACGTCTAGGTTGGGTAGGTCCCGGAGGAGGCGGTGGCATGTTTTTGTTAGCCGACCCACTCGCATTATATATTTGCGTTCCACCAGGCGCTCCGTACCCACTCTGCAATATATAAAATATTTAAAACTATTGGCTTTAAACGTCTTTCTATCTGTATATAGAATTTTTTAAACCTCAAGAAATGATTAGATCTAAAAAAAGCTTCCTCTATGAGGAAGCAATTAAATAAACTAGCTTATAAATACAAAAGTATAATACGTAAGAGTGTATAATGATGTAATTATTTATGTCAAACAAGTATAACGTAATATTAAACGAGCATTACTTGTTCCTGTCGATAGTAATCTTGCGGACACGAGTATGACGATGCAGCTGGCGGTTGCGAGGGCGAAGAAGGCTGACTGGTCACCGTTTGCTGTTGCACAGTGGCCGGATGAGCCTGCGGTCCCGATGGATAGCTGTTACTTCGCGCGTTGGGAGGCGTTCCCGTAGGATAGCTAGTAGGTCCCGGCTGACTGCTAGTATATCTGTTGTACATATCTTGTCCAGTAGCATTGCTCGGCGGCATGTTACCACCCGGATATCCCCTGTACATGACAAAAAATACATTGAATAATAGATTCGTTATTGTGAAACGAGAAAAATATGACGATATTTCTCACCTGTCGACATCCGGCACATATGGAGGATAATGTGATCTCGGCGAGTATGGTTGACTAAATTCCCCTTGCTGAGACAGCGCGTTTCCCTGCGGTCGAATGTACTGATCTTGCGGATAATTTTGATAGGAACCCGTGTTCTGGTAACTGCCTTGTTGTATTCCTTAAAAAGTAATTGAGAAGAATTGTCATGAAATTCGTAACAATAAATAAATTATCAATGTGTTTGCAAACTGCGAAATGTACCTTGATGGGCGGAAGGTGCGCTGCTTTGACTGGGTGGCCTAGGTGGCGGTGGCGTATATTCTGACGACGGGCCACCGGGAGTACCACTCGCGTAACTACCCTGATAGCTTCCATAGC